AGAGAGAGAGAGAGAGAGAGAGAGAGAGAGAGAGAGAGAGAGAGAGAGAGAGAGAGAGAGAGAGAGAGAGAGAGAGAGAGAGAGAGAGAGAGAGAGAGAGAGAGAGAGAGAGAGAGAGAGAGAGAGACAGAGAGAGAGACAGACAGACAGACAGAGAGAGAGACAGAGAGAGACAGATAGAGAGACAGACAGACAGACAGACAGACAGAGAGTTGTTTTTGTCTGACGGCAGTTATGGATTTAGGGTGTTTTTTGTATTGGGGTTGCTGTGTGTTCGCGCTGGTCCCCCCTCCGTTTCAGGTGGTGTCTGCAGCAGCGCAACGTGTCGATAGCTGTCGAGGTTGAAAGGCAGACTCCGCAAGTAGGAGGGGGGGGGGGCGGAAGCCTTCCTCCTTCAGGCAGTAGGAATCCACAGAGCGCGGCGCTTCCGTGCAGCCGTAGCGAAGCCTCGACAGGCGCTGTAGCGACGGTAGGAGGCTCAACGAACGCTGGAGGGGGAGCACTATCATCACCCTTTGCGGCGGAGACGAAATCTCCCCCCTCAGAAACAGCCGCTACTCCCACGCCTGCACCTGCCGCAGTTTCTGCGGCAGGATGCGGCGCCAAGAAGGCAGTCGCGGCGAATGAAGTGACACTCCAATTCGAAGAATTTCCTTTCTCGGCAGCTCAAATGTTTTGGCCAGATCCGCAGGTTCTGCCTCAGCGTCTGCACGTGGGTAAGCAAGCGTAGCCTGCAGTCGCGCAGTTTCTTGGTGCTCGTTTTTCTCCCATCTTTGCGTAGAGAAAAGGAGGGAAGAGAGAGAGGGAACAGGAGGGGAGGGGAGGGGGCTATTCGGCGAGTGGTACTAGGGCTTACAGCCTCTTTTGGGGAGGGAAGCAAAGGGAGAGGCGGTCAGGGAAGTTCGAGGCAGCTCTTCTCAAGCGTGGCTTGCCCTTGTCAGTCTTCCAGTTATTATCGACGCATGCTCGGCTCTCTATTGCATGCGCCTGCCCCTCGTAGGACTCCCCATTCAGGTGTCTCTACTCCTGGGGCCGAGAAACTGCATTTGGTGGCTCGATGCGGAGGTGACTGGCTTGCAAGATGGCGTGCTCCTCTGCCGCATTGCTGGGCCGAGCGTGAAGAGTGCCAGCAACAACAGCAGCAGCAGCAGCAGCAGCAGCAGACACCAGCTCGCGGAGAAAGCGGCTGCCGAAGGCGCTGAGCAGCCGCAGAACGGCCCCTCTGCTCCCGAGGGGGAGGCAGCAGCAGCAGCAGCGGCTGCAGAAACGCAGGGGATGACGGCGAAGAAGTTGGAGGCAGCGGGAGGCTCAGCAGAAGGCGACTTTGCCGCTCCCCAGGGAACGAGGGAGAAGAAATCCAAGACTTCCAAGAAGAAGCCTATCACCGCCGAGACGCTCACGGGCAGACCAGCCTTCAAGGTGAGTGTTGCTGCTGGCTGCGCGTCGCGTCGCGACGCAGCAAGCGGCGCCAAGCGGGAAGAAAGAGGGAAGGAGGAAGGCAATCGCGATGTTCGCGACGCGCGTTTGTGTCTCTCCCACGTTTCTCTGCTGCAGGAGGCGCAGCCGTACCCCGTGCGAAATTTCTGCGCGCCTCAAATCCCCCTTTCGTCTCCAGCAACGCAGTGCTGGCGTCTCAGACCTCGATCCCTAGGGGGAGGGAGGGAGGGGGAAAGCGGGGGGGGCCCCCCTTCTTCCTCCGAGAGCGGGGGGGGGGCCCCTCCCCCCCCCGTACACCCCCAGCGCGATTTGTACCCTGGCGCATGTCTGTGCGTCTCGGTAGCCGCCTTAGGCCTTCGTTGCCAGTCGCAGCAGCAGCAGCTGCCTGCATGCTTGCTGAAGGATGTGGTAGTGCATCGCGCGTTCAGTGAAGCCTCGCCGCCTTCCGGGGGGGGGGGCAGGGAGCTGAGTAACGGCAGCGGCAGCAACAGCGAGGACGAAGGCGAGCGAGGCGTCCTCGCCGGCAAGCCGCCTGCAGCGACAACCCCCGTGAGTCTCCTCGACGCGCATGCACCGGCTGCACTGCTCGCCAAGAAGGGCTTGCCTGCCCCTCCCTCCGGGAGGAAGACGACGGAGGGGAGCAGCCTCCCCCCCTTTGCAGCAGCGGCAGCAGCAACTCCGCCCGCACCAAACCGACAAGTGCCCCCTCGATGCTACGATGGCTGCTGGGCTGCCAAGGAAATCACGCATGTGCAGGTGAGACGCCGTGAGGCTGCATGTGTGCATGGTGTGTGCATATTATGCACGTGCCTGTGTTTGAGTCGAGGGGCCGCTTGAACCCCCCTCCCCTCCTTCTTCGCTTCTTCTTTCCGTCTTGCTCTGCTGCGCGTCTCCAGCTCTTCTGGAAGGGCCGTGCTCTGCGTCTGCTGCTGCTCTGCGTGCAGCTGTACATCATTTCCTTCCGGAAGTCGCGAGTGGTGTCGGTGGCTTCGCTGCTGCGTTTTCCCGCGTACAAGTTGCAGTACGATCTCCACGCGCACTTCCCCTCCGGCTCCTCTTCGCTGTCTTCCGTGAGTCGGCAGGCGGCAGACTTTCTGTGGGCAGTCCCCAGAGCGCTGCTGCCTTCTTGGAGCCAAGCAGGCAGGGGGGAGGGAGGAGCGGCAGCGGCGCTCGGCAAGCGGCGAAGAGACGGAGATCCACCACTCTCAGGCGCGCACACCGTCTCGTTCTCGGGAGCAGCGTCGGAATCCGAGGCAAGGGGGGAGCGGGAAGGGAAGGGAGGCGGCGACGCTGCCGCTGCACGTGCAGCGACTCCTGCCGCTGCAGCTGCCGCTGCAGCCGAAGCCGCGTCGGATACAAAAACGAGGAGCTCCGCGCGGGAGTGGCGAGACTGCCCGCCTTTCTGCTTGGTGTATGTCGCCCTATCCAGCCGCTGTCTCTTCAAGCTGCCCCGCTGCCTCCCCATCGCGCGCTTGTTGCAACCGGAAATCGACTGGGGGGCCCTTCTGGAGGGGCGGTGGGCCCTTCGGAGGGAGCAGTGGCGTAGGGAGCCGCACCTGCCCCTGGCGGCTGTCTGGGGGGGCCCCCTGCGCCGCTTGGAAGGAGCCTCGGAAGCCTCCAGAGCGGCTTCGATCGGCCTCCTCAGCCCTCCGCCAGTCGCTCTCCCCTGCCTGCTGCATCACCCCAGTGAGGGGCCTCTTCCGCCCGGAAAACTCAGCGCAGTGCTCCTCCCGTGGCTGCGCGAGGGCTGGACGCCGCCCCCTTCGTACTGCGCAGCAGGAAGCGCGAGGGGGCCTTCTTTCGGAGTCTCCTCCTCCTCTGCCTCCCCCCTCCTCGCGCAGCGTCGTCGCGAGGACGAAGAAGCTCCTGGCGAGGGGGGGCGGTCGGCGCACAGGGGGGCCCCTCCCCCGCTCACCCGGTCCAAGGAGTGGGTGGAGTGCGTCGGCGGCTGGCGCGTCGACCTGTCTCCGCACATCACCCTGCTGCAGAGAGAGACGCAGGAGAGACGGCTCCTGCTCGCGCTGGAGGAAGAAAACGAGGCTCTGGGACCGTCCCTCCTGTGGGATTTTGAGAGGCTTTATGCCCCTCCCAAAGTCTCGCGAAACATCGAAAGCGCCGACGCGGTGAACGACTCAGAGCTGCAGACACCAGACGCCCTTAGGGGCCTCGTCAGAGAGGCCCTTGCGGACTGCCGCGTCCTATGCGCGCAGCAGTTGCAGCAGCAACAGCAGTGCAGCCACCAGCACCAGCGTTTCCGTCGACTGCAGCCATGCCAACACCAGCAGCAGCAGCCGCAGCCGTCGCAGAAAAAGCAGCAGCAACGCGCATCAGCAGCGAGGGGCTTAAAGCGTCAGGATGACGCCGCAGTTGCCTCTGGGAGTCGCTCTGCAGCGCTCTCAGGTTTGGGAGGCGGTGTTTTAGGGGCCCCCAAGCGCGTAAAGAACGATTCGGAAGCGACGCGCAGGAGTGGGAGGGCCCCCGCGAGCCGCAGCACGAGGCACGAAGAGGACGCAGCGGCAGAAGGGGGGGCCCCTAGCAGCACTTTGCGCTCGCTCTCTCCCTCCGTAGGACGAGGCCCTTCGGGGGCCCCTGGCTTCGCAGGAGCGTCGTCTAGAGGCAGCAAGCGGAAGCGGGAGGGGGCTGGAGGGGCCTCTACCACTGCAGGCGGATCGTCTCGTCTCGCGCTCAAGAGACGAGTCTCCGAATTTCTTCCGATGCTGCAGCGGCGTGGCAACGTCGCGGGGGAAGCTGAGCACAGGAAGGCACTGACGACCACCCCGGGGGCCCCTGCTGGCGCCGCTCCTGCGGAGGATGACACTGAACAAGGGCGCTCAAAGCAGCGGCGAGGAGGAGGCGGAGGCGCAGGAGTTTCAGAAGAAATGACAAGTTCAGAGGCTGCCCGCAGCAGCGCTCTCGAGGGCCCTAGAGGCTTTTTGCCTAGCGGGGAAAACCGCGACGAGGAAGGTCTGCCGAACCTCGTTTTCTCTGTCTCCCCGTCTCTCACCCCTCATCCAGACTCAGCCACTAGGGGCCCCTCTATCGAAAGGAGTGCTCCAGAAGAAAAGGAGGCGCTGGAGCCCGCGCAAGTCCGACGAAAAAGCGGTCGCGCACGGGGGGGGGGGGCCCCTCCGGGGGCGGCGGGGCCCCCGCCGACGGACGAACCGTCGGCGGCTTCTCTGGTCTGAAGGGGTTGCACGAATCATCCAGCTTCACCCGTTTCAGTCAGACAACAGGGCAGCAGAGGATGACATGAGGCACTGAGAAAAGCAGAAAGGGTGCCCGTGTCTTCGCCGTATCAAGTGCGTGGTCTCAGGACCCCTCGGCTTCTTGGTACTGCGGAGCTTCTTTCCACCGCGCGTGGCTTTCCCTTTAATATTCATTTCCACTTTCTCGCTGTGACTGGCGCTCCTCCTTCCTCGGAATGCTGCTCGCTGATAGGCCCCTTCTACGTATTGCTCAGTGCATGAGGTAGTTAGCTCCTCGCTCCCTTGCTGCTGCGGTGCGTGCCCCTCAGAAACGGGCAGCCTCCAGTTTAGGATATTTTCAGAGCTTCCAGCAAATCGCGAGCTTGGGAGAAGTCGCTGCCTGAACCCTAGTGCGCCAACAGAGGGCCCCGTAATAGTGCAACGTGTAGGTGGCTTCAGCATGCATGTGTTACGCGGCATTAGACTTTTAGGGCGGCTAGGCTGTCTTCTAGAGAGCGCTTTACCGAGCGCCAGGCGTGTCTGCCCCAAAATCCGGCATAGATTTTCCTCTTGCTTCGAATAGCCGCTTCTTCGACAATTTCCGTTGACACCACAAGCTGTCTTTTGTAGCACAGCGCCGAAGACAGGAACAACCCCAGCCAAGAGGGGGCCCTGGCAGGTGGAGGGTCAATGACTAAGCCTTCTTGCCGTAAGCATCCTGCGCTCCTACCCTTGGCTCTGTAGCGTTTTGCTCAGCATGCAGGGAGTACCGGCAAAAGCAGTCGAAGACGCAAGGTCAAGCAGACTTGGCGGAATCCAGCAGTCCAGGAAGGGGCAGTTTAGGAGGAGCTTTCCACGAGGCTTGGCGAGACGGTGCAGGCAAAGCACCCTCTCGACGCCGCTGCTTGCCATTGCGGGGAACTAGAGAGCCGCAACACACCTGCTCCTCGTGAAGATGGGGCTTAATAGGGCAAGGGTGTCCAAGTTGGCGGCGACTGCAGCTCATGGTCGGAAGGCTGGCAGCAGCAGTGCGCCCCCTGTTGCTGCTCTTCTTGCTGCTGCTGTGGAATACTTGTGACTTCGCAAGTCAGGGGGATTGCAGGGATGCGGTGCGTCTTGACTTTAGGCACTTCCGCAACGCGAACTGTCTCCCTGAAGGTGACTGCCCTTCGTGGATAGGAGCTGCTTCTGCGGTTCCCTTTGAGAGAGGGCCGGCGCTGGTCTTCTGCGTTGTTGGAAGTCTGAGAAGGCACACCGAACAACGCATCTGAATGAGAAAGCGATTCAAGGATAGAACACCCCAGGCACCAGAAAGTGCTTACAGCTCTCTGGGAAGGGCCTTCAGACGCGATGTGTACTTCTCCGCTGGTTTCCGACACCTTCAACTCTTCCTGAAACTCCTTAAACGGCTCCTCCATCGCAGCACTCCCAAGGGCCTCTAGGGAACTCGCCTCAGCAGACGCTGCCTTCATCCGCCTATCCCTCCTCAGCCTAGGGCTTTGAGGTTACTGAACACACGGCTACAGACATCATGAAGAAGGAGCTAGGGCATTGGTAAGAGAAGAAGTGGCGAGCCACGTGGGACACATGTGCTGCTGTAGAGCCCAAGGCTTGTTGCACATGCGGGCAAGAGCATGACGAAGAGGGGCAGGGAGGGAGGAATAAGTCTCCTTCACTGAATGATTACCTAAACACATGTCTCTTCCTGGTATCATGAGTCTTTTAACACGTTTTCTACTGCCGCTCGGTCACAATGCCCGCAAGTTCGCCGCAGCACTCGCCGATTCATCTCTAGCATTCGGTTGCCGATTCGATGCAGCCCGATGACTGTCCACCAGCGGACCAGAGCAAGTGTGCACCTTCGAGATGAAACGAGGCGAGCACATGTGTGTGCTTTCTTTAGCAGCAAAACCATTTGGTGCTCGTATTTATACTGGATTGCCATGAAAAAAGGCAAAGGAGCACACGGGATGCGGGGAGTGAGGTGCGCAAGCTCCCAGCGGTCTGCTTCGACTTTATATAACTTCTCATTGCAATTTGCCAAGCAATGTACATGTAAACAAATCCAGGGCTTCCGAGGATACTTAGAAGTCCTTTTCGAGGCCTCGAAAGGCGTAATCCAACCCCCACCCACCCTGCCGGCACCGTAGAACCCGCGAACGTTATTCTGTGTGCCAAACTTTCAGAGCACTAGTCTCAGGTCCAGCCATTCCCCCTTACAGCAATGCCTGCTGCTTTAGTTTTGTTTTTCTACTGAAAGGCTGACTATAACTGCTCGGTATGCCTTTTGCTCACCGCTTCTCCTAGCACCCTCTGATGGGCAGCTTTGCTCGCCTTTAATCATCCGTCGTAGCCAGCAACTCCAACGCCACTTTCCTGAAGCTCCGTTTCTAAACTCTCTCGAACTTTGGTTCCCCGGCATGCAGACCTCGGTCTTTGCCAGGCCATGTATCCACAATACCCCTGAATGCAACTCCCTGTGCTGCTCTCCAATACTTTCTAGTTACACTGATTAACAAATACTAGTGAACTAATAATGTCACTTGACTGTTAGTGCATCTTATATATTGGGCAGTAGGGCTGCCTTGCTCTAGCAAGGCGTATGTGAGAGCGCGAGAAGCTGTATGCAACTAGTCGTGAATGCTTGGAGTGCTCAGAGGGTGCATCACAGCACGCCTTAGCTGTCCCTATCACCCCATCTCGAAACCCTAAAAAACGGGCAAGGGAAGAAGGGAGCTTGTCTAAAAGGATGCTCAATAACCGGAAAAGTTTGTATAGAGCCCAGTGTTACGTATCTGCCTGCAGAAACCTCAGGCGGAGCGCTCCCCGTAAAGCTTAATGGTTTATGAACACCAAGTGCGTGGGACAGCGTTTTTGAGGGATACATTCTTCTGACTTCTGAATGCAGCCCTTTGGGGGAAGAGAATCTTCAGGGGGTAGGTGAGGGGGAGGAAGGGAAGAATGCAGACACCTGGTGCTCTGGCCCGTGGATCTGGGTGGCATGCATTATCTAGTAAAATGGTGGTGGCCTTGTCTTTTTTCCTGCCTTAGATTGAAGCTAGAATTCACATACCGCTTTAGCAACTTCGAGCAAAAACAAAAATCGCAGAGAGGAGCCCTAACAAGGTTAAAAGTGCAGTCATATGCACTGTATGCGTTTATACTGATACTGGTGCATGGATATTCTGTATACACACTTGCACGGAGCTGTGCTCAGGGAATCCCTCACTCTCCCATAAATACGTATTTGTGCTTTTGGGCTTTAGCACTCACACCGCAGTTGAAGAAACTAAGTACCTCCCGCTCTGCTACTCCCGCTCTCTCTCTCTCTCTCTCTCTCTCTCTCTCTATATATATATATATATATATATATATATATATATATGTATATATCCATATTCGTATATACACAAATGCTGTATCTGTACCCTACCGGACTGCCGTGTGCCAGCTAGTGATCACATGCCTACGTCTTTAAATACTCTCCCGAATATTAAAAAAACTACTTGTAGGTATTTCAATGTACATTCGAATGAGTTCGGATACAGATTTATTTCTGTCGAATCATGCAAGCAGCCCAATGTGCACACGGATAATACGTTCTTTGTTTTGTGCAATATGTATACATATATATGTGTTTATGCAGATAATGATGCATCTGTGCGGGTACATCAAGGTGAACAGGTTTGGACAGCAATATCGTAACGCGTTCGACAGTTCATACATGTCAAGATGCTCGCTGCATTCAGGTTTCGCTGTGCAAGAACGATCGAAAAAGAGCTGCTTAACGAAATACTTGGCTGCTGGGATTATTGTGGAGGGAGAAGCCCCAAGCAAGTGTAATAACTGGGTACCAAAAACGCAACACGCTTTTTGCGCCTAACATCGGGAGCATCATTGCCCACTCCCTTTTCTGCTGCCACCAGCGTTGCAATGCCCCCCGTCTTGCCCCTCACCCCCTCTTTCCTAGGGAGAGCCTTGTACTATGTAGCACCAGGCTGTGGGATCACTGGCTGCCACTGGAGTTTCATGGATGTTTCTATTTCTGCAAGCTTTGAAGAGTTCAGAACAAAGTCGAGGCTCGCATCCCTGGGATCATCAGAATGCTGCAGCAGCCTGGGGTGCTTCCCCCTGATACATCTGCAGCCCCTGGGCCTCCTGCTGCTGCTGCATTCCCTGGGCCTCCTGCTGCTGCTGCTGGTCTCCCCACTGTGCTGCTGTATCACTGTATAATCGCGCGTTGTTTTGCACCCAGTTGCCGTCTGCACCCCAATATCCTCCTTCCTGCTGCTCCCCTTGCTGCACCCAATTGCCCTGTTCGTCATAGTACCCCGCATACGCTTGCTGTGGCTGCTGCTGTTGCTGCTGCTCCGCAGAGGTTGCCACCCAGTTGCCCTGCTCGTCGTAGTACCCCGCATACGCTTGCTGCGCCTGCTGCTCCCCTTGCTGCACCCAATTGCCCTGCTCGTCGTAGTACCCCGCATACGCTTGCTGCACCTGCTGCTCCGCAGAGGTTGCCACCCAATTGCCCTGCTCGTCGTAGTATCCTTGAGCACCTTCGCCAGACTGCTGCGGAGCTAGCTGCTGCGCAGGGAAATACTGCTGCTGCTGCACCCAATTGCCTTGCTCGTCGTAGTACCCCCCCATCTCGCTCGCGTAACCCTCCTGACCATAATAGCCACCTCCCGTACCCACCCAATTGCCACTCTCATCCCAGTACCCTCCCCCTGCAGCCCCTCCTGGTGCAGGGGCCACCCAGTTGCCCTGTTCATCATAGTAGCCCTGGGCGAGGCCCTCCTGTTGGGAGCCCTCTGCCAAGTTGTTGTATTCCTCCCATTTGCCTCCCACTGCAGTCTCTTGCGAAGGGGCCCCCGCCAGTGTCAGCGGACGCTCCGGCACCTCCTGTGAGGCTTGTCGAGCTCCCCCGTCAGCTTTCTCTGTAGAGTGACGAGACTGCGCCGACGCCTCACGGCGAGAGCTGCAGGACGCCCAGCCAGTAGACACAAGCACACAAGCCCTAACTGCAAACGGCAAAGAGCAAAGCTTCCGCAACCTAGAGACTCCGCACGTCCTGCCACCACGTGCGCCAAGCTCTCGACTGCGAGCTACAGGGCCCTCCCCCCCTCCCCCCGCACCCCAAAAACAACGGCAAACCCTAAACCTTGAAGCGCTGCTGACGAGTTGGCTCACTGCTTCTTGGCATCGATCTGAAGGCGATGCTCCTGCTTTCTTTCCTCCGACAGCAAGTGTTGTGGGGCCCCGCAGCAGGGGACACCCCCGCAGCACTCCATAAAGAAGACAACAGCCTTCGAGCTGCCGCGGAAGCCGCCAGGAGTTTGGCCGTAAGGTCTCGCCGGGGACCTGTCGGAGGCCCTCCAGGGGACTCCTTTCTGTTGCATATACGCAGAGTGCTGCTCCAATCTACTCTGCAACGCCGGGCTCTTAAGCCGCCTCTCAAGAAGCTCTGGCACTGCACTGCGAGTCTCAAACCACGTGTGAGGAGGCGCAGGTGCCAACTGGGTGCCCTCCTCTTTGCCGTGTGACAAAAGCTTAGACGGGAGGGCAGACACTGCGACAGAGAAAGCAGCAAAAGCATCAAATGCGCAGGCTACAGAGACGCGCCTCCGGCGAAGCTTTGCATCTAGAGATGAGAGAAGATCCTCCGCAGCAGCAGCACACAACACACAAGCACTGGACCACGGGAGCAAGAGCGGCCGATAGAGACATACAGGGAGCCTCTGACAACTCCATGAGCTGCAGGTGTACCTCCCCAGCTTGTGCCCCCAAGCCCCACGCACATAAGAGCAATCTCTGTGCACGCTACATATATACATATGCATCATACATCGCGTTCTCGCCTCTGCATCCTTTGAAGCAAGGGAAACTCGGCTACTGCTAACTTAGGGGGGCTCGGCTGCGTTGCATCTTACCCCCCAAAGGCGCCTCCGGGGGAGGTGAGGGTGGGAAGGCAGGCAGTGATGAGAGCTTCGACGGTTCCTGCAAGGTGGGGTGCCCTGCAGCGTCCGCGGGGCCAAAGCTCCCAAGGGCAGCAAAGCGCTTGGCTATGATGTTGGAAGAGGCATCCTCGGAGGCTTTTTCCTCCACACGCGGTGAGGAGACGGACTGTTTGAACGACAGCCCCTTTTGCAGGATCTCTTCCTCCACGCCACACACCGGCTGTTTGGCGGCTAGCCCGCCTTCTGCTTGCGGACTTACACCGGAGCCTTCTCGGCGTAACTCCCCGGATACGGCCTTCTGGGGCAGACTTGGAGGGTAATCCTGTTTGGACTCCTGGCTCCTTGGGGAGCGCATCAGCTCCAGTGGTTTCTTTTCTTTCGTCTGCTCACGCACAGCACGCCCAAAGCCCGTGACATTAAGTCTCGGCAGCATCGCGCAGCTACGCCAGCAAGCCATCCCCGGAGTCGCCTCACCCACCCCCAGCTTGCATCTTCTCCCCCCAAAACCAGCAAAGCCTCTGCACACCTATTTCCGCGCACAGGTTACAAGCCCGCCTTGTGGGGGGGGCACTAAGCAACACGAAGAATTGCGCAAACCCCTGGCTCACTTTTCCCTCAGTAGCCATGGCGCCGCCGTGCGTAGCGTCGGAAGTCAAGAGCCCTCTCACTGACACAGCAGAAGACTTCGAGGTCTCCCCCAAACGCTCAGCGGCCCCCTTCTCAGCTGCCGCCTCCCCACCCGCAGAGGCTTTGCTTATCTGATCAACAGCAAGCCCAAGAGGGGGTGACGACTCCTTCCTGCTCAGCGCCTGCAAAGAGGCACGCAACACCACGAGGCACAGAAGCCAGTGCAGCAGCAACCCGCATAGTCACAACGTTCGCCACACACGACATACAACGCTTCCCCTCTTCGCGATAGCAGCAGCAGCAGAGAACAAAACTACTGCAGCCCCCACTGCATGTCTATCGTGGCGGGTGTACTGTACAGACGCCCCTTAGGCCCCTTTCCGCCTTGTTCCCCTTGGTCCACCCCCCCTTCGGCGGGTGCTCCTTGTGGGCCTTACTGCAGCGTCGTGTTGCTCTGTTTGAACCAGTGGTGACTTTTCTTTCTTAGTTGCCGAGATCTTGCCGGAAGATGTTATCTTGGTCTTATCCAAGGCCTTTTCGGCCGTTTCTTTCTCCTTTGCCTTCTGCGCCGTTTCGGCCTTCTCAGCCTTCTCTTTCTTTTCCCCCTTTTCCCCCTTCACCGCTTTTGTGGCTGCCTTCTTCAACTTTACGGCCTTACTGGGGGCAGCCACTCCGTCGGTTTTCGCCTTCTTCACCTTGACCACGCCCTTCGTCTTGGGCTTCGCCTTGGGCTTTTTCAGCTTCTTTTGCGGCTCAGTTCCAGAGCCAGAGACGCTTTCTGAGGGGCCCACTGTCTCCTTCTCGCTGCTCTCTGCGGCCGAAGCCTGACGCTCGAGCGCCGCCTTCTCTACCGCCTCCTGCGGCACAGAGGGGGTCCTCTTGGGGAGCACCAGTCGGCCTTCAGCATCCCTCGAAGGCAGCCCCCTCAAAGGAGGGACGCCTTCTGGTCGCTTACGACCGCTTCCGAGGCTTGCGCTTGCTGGCGATCCCCTCCCTGACGGCGAAAGAGACTTCACACTACTCCCCCCCCGCTTAGCGGCTGCCTCCGCCCCCTCTTCCCCCGGCCCCTCTGGACCCATGAGGCCCTCCGCCACCTCACTGACACCCGCTTCCGAACTTTTCGCCTCTGCCATCGCCTCCGCTTCTTGAGCCGCTCCCGCTCGAGAAGCCTCGCTTGGCCTCTGCGCCTTCGAAGCCTCTGCTGCAGCAGCGGCCTCAGTAGCAGAAGGGGGCGGCGCTGCCTTTTTCGTCGCGACGCGACTCAAGGGGGCCCTCGGCTTCGAAGGAGAGCCCCCTGCCGCTTCCCTTTCCTCCTTCCCCCCTTTCGCTGCCGCTGCAGCAGCAGGCTTCGGGGTGCCTTTGGCTGCAGCCTTGGCGAGGGTCCTCGGAATGCCCGCAGGAGGAGCTCCCTTCTTCGCGGAGGGGGCCCCTTCGCCCCCCTCCTGTGAATCCTTCTGGCGAGGCGAACCGGCCAGTCCCTTAGCGGCACTCTCGACCTCGAGAGGCCCCTTCGCCGCCGCCGCCTTGGAAGAGGTCTCCGAGAGCGTTCCTGAGATCTCTTCTGCCTCTTGCTTCTCCAGCTGGCCTTCCGCAAGAACCAGCTCGGAAGCTTCGTCCTCGGCCTTTGCCAAGTCTTTGGAGGAGACTTCGGCAGCCTTCTTGGCGGCTGCCCCCTTCGGAGCAGGTGCACGAACTGCCTTCGGCACGATCCCCCTCGTCGCAAGAGCACCCGACGGCTTCTCCTCCTTTGCCCCCTTCGCCTCCTCCTCATCTCCAGCCCGCTCCTTCGACGCTGCTGCTGCCGCAGGGGCCGCCTTCTTGACTACGGCCTTCACCGAAGCCTTGGGAGGAGCCTTCTTCGGGACGTCTCTCTTGGCTTCCTGTCTGTCCTCGTCAGCCGCTTTCTCCCCCGGAGCCACACCCTCTCGCCCTTCTACGCCTTTGTCAGGAAGGGGCCCCTTCGAAAGGGCCTTCTTAGCTGCTGCCTCCGCCTTCACAGCCGCCAGTGCCTTCACCGCGGGCCCTGGAGACCTCCTAACCGACGTCGCCTTCGCTCCCGCAGGCTCCTGCGAGACACCGGAGGACCCCCCCCTCGCTATCTCCAACTCAGCGGATTTCATCGCGATTTCGAAGGAGGTGAGCTCCTTGGAACCCTTCCTCTCGGCCGCCTCCAGTGCGGCTGTCTCCGTCCCCTCCGCTTTGGCTTGCTTTCCTGCTTCCGCTTCGCGCTCTGCCACAACCCCCCTTCCGCCTTCCGGCTCCTTCTTCTCCGCCTTCGCCTCCGAGCCCACGGAGTCCTCCTTTCGCAGGTCCAAAGACGCAGAGCCTGCAGACTTCAAGGCGCCGGCGGGTGGGGTTGCCTCGATGCTCTTCTTTGCTGCTGCTGCCCCTTCTTCCCCCGCTGCTCCTGCTGCCTTCGAACTTCCCCTGCGCAGGAGAGCGGTGGGCACGGCTTTCTTGACAACCGTCTTCTTCGCAGGAGGAGGCCTCTCGGCCTCCTCTGCTGCCTCCAGCTTCTCTGCAGAGACGCTTTTTTCAGCAAGCACATCCTTGCTCGGGGGTAAGCCTGCCGGTGCCTTCGGCTGAGGAAGCGTCGCCTCCGCTTGCTTCTTCTCAGCAGCACCACTCCCAGCGTCTTCCATGGCCTTAGGAGGCGCCTCTTTTGGAACCAACCGTTTAGCAAACTCACTTGCCTTTCCCTCTGTGCTCGCTGCCTTCTTCTCCGCCACACTCCCCAAGCGGGCCGTGTAGCCTGGACCTTCTGCCTTTCCCTCCTTACGGAGGGCCGGAGCTGCCTTTTTAGCCAGGCCGACCCTCTCAACAACAGTCGCTGCCTTCTCCTTCGGCGTCTGACGTTCCTCTGACAGACCTTTCCTGATGGCTTCCCCCGCCTTGCTGGGCGCTGCTGCTTTGGCTGTAGGCGGCAGGCTGGCCACTCTGGGGGCAGTCGCTTTGGCTAGCGAAGGGCCCCTAGAGAGCGCCCGTCGCGCGCCTGCATGCGCAGATGCAGTCATAACAACAAACCAACCCCGACTTCTCGCTGTTGCAGCCCTCAGCACTGCCAGAAGCACAATATGTGCACTGGCCAAACCAAACCTTGAAGGCCATTGTTCGACACCTACCTGACTCGCCTGGTTGACCTCCGCGAACGCCAAAAACCTCTAAGAAACCTCGTACTTCTAAAGTAAGCGGCTCTTGGGTGGCCTGCGCAAACAGTAGGAGTCTATGGCCAGAAGGTCCAGGGTGAACAGTTTCGGCGGGGGCACGTGTGTGTGCTTAAATGCGTTTTGACTATAAGGCAGGCGGAACTGAAGTCACCTGAGTAGTTGTACCCTCCGTCTCGGTGCTGGCTTTCTCCATGATGGAATGAGACTGATCTAGCATGGCAAGAACAACGAGGGAGACTGCTAGCGGTGAGCAGTCCGGCTTTTGTGTCAAAAGGAGGAAAATTTGTTATGGAAGGATTGTAAGGTGCATGAATAGCAGTAAGCATCAGAAATGGCACGGAATAAGGCCCCTGGAAACGAACTCATTCCATTGCGTTGCCCGTGGGCCGGGCAACATGAACTCCGTCACTGCAGTCTTCTCTTAGGGTTTCAGAGGTCAAAAGAGAGTTGTATCTGGATGGACGCGGTACTAAATTGGTTTTCAATACAAATCAACGGAACAAGGCAAGGTTCAAAAGCCCTTATACAGCATGACGCTTACACTCCACTGTATCGAAATGGACTGGAGGGTAGGGCTGAAGCCTCTAGTACCGTGAAACGCTGGAGCCTCTAGCTCCTACAGTCCTTTGTATTCCTAATTATAATAGGCAGATAAGTGTAAAAAATACCAGCAGGCAGAATAATATTGCCCCTTCAAAGATAATGACTGCCTCGGTTTCGATGGAGCTAGCCACCGGTCTGGTCTCCTATGAAAATAGGAAGCACAAAAAACATGGTCGAGTATGTACGCTGAGGCAGCTTGCACTTTGTTCCCTTTCAGTGAGCCCCACTTCCATGTGCAGCCTTATCAGCATGTTCTTCTGACAGCCATCCTTTGGGGGAAGCAATCGAAGTAGCTGAATTTGGCTTCCCTTCCTAGTCTAGGGCACCTCATGGACAAAGGAACGTATTATGAATGTACTTTGGTACTTCTTAGAGCGAATGCATGTGGCTTTAGGCTTGCCCTGAAGAAAGTGTACACAATGCAATAGTTACAGGGAAACCAAGTTCTTCGACCACCGCCAAAAAGAGGCTGCTGCCCAGAGCCAAGTTGTATGCAGGCACCTAAAAGCTTATTGATCCATCCACAGCCGTTTTTTCTGTTTGAAATGTTCTACACTTACCGATGCAGATCGTAGTGCGAGGTGCTAATACAACCGGTCTGCACAACTGCCTGGCATATGGTAGTAAAAAGTGTGCAAGTGTGTTTCCTGCTACCTGTGGTATTCAGTTTTGTACTCTTAAGTTCTGTACCATGTCACCGTAGGGTAAGGGCAGGTAGATTGCCAGGAGGGAGTGTTTGAGCACTGAGCGCACTAGCGAATAAAATGAGCGGTGTGAATGCTCTCGTCACCCCTAGTGAACCTTGAGGTTGGAGCGCTCAGGCTACGTCATGTGCTAGCAAAATGATTTCATGTAATTCTTTAGCTAGTCTCGGAGAGCAGGAAGGCCCTGTAGCGATGTGCGCAAGCCTCAGGTTGTCTCAGGGCAAAATGCCGGATCTGCGTGAAAAAAATCAGCAGATGGACCGAGTCGCACATTAGATCGGCCAGAACGATCACGCGTAAATGAATATCGTGGTCATATGTGCACTGATTATAATAAGAGACAATTAGAACTTGATGGCAGATTCAGAAAAGCAGGGGAGAATGGGGGGACGTGCCAGTGAAAGAAATTGTAGCTCAGCATCTTCTGCGTAACTTATTTTACTGTCTTTACGTAAACAGATACATTTGAACAAGATCAGCGCACTGGCACATGATTGTTTCTAATGTAAAACACCGTTGGGGTGTACGGCGTTGTGACGCTGGACGGGGTGTATTCATGGGTAGTGCCCCGACATGCAAGTTCAGTTCAAGATCGAATACCCACTCATTAAGCTATGCATATGTGTGCACACAATAGTTTTGGCTTAAGGAGAATATAGCGAAAATAAATGGAGGGGAATATTAGATCAGGCAATTGTGTAATTCAATCTACTGAAAACCGGAATTCCAATTTGGCTCTCAGAGCTGCCGCTCTGGCGCTCTTAGCACACCGGAAAAAGCTGAGAAGAATTGAACGCCACAAACCTGAAAAGGGCACCTGCAGAGCAGTCACCAATCTACCTTCTGAAGCTGTGAATGCCACTGAGTGCAAGCGGATGGTTAGTCAAAAAGGGAAGCCCATGCAGCAGTCTGGGGATGCACAAACGCGCGTTCTCAATACAGTAGAGCTGCCTTTTGCATGGAAAGAAGACAAAGTGGAATCATACAACGGTAGTGGCGGTAGCCGATATGACTGGATGTTGCAACGCCCATGTGGCGATCCGGTGAGGGGCGCACATCATTGCACCGTTGCGTGTTCGGGTTTGGGAATCGTGCATTTTAGCATCAGGGTATTTGTGAGATTCTGAAGGTTGAGGCGATTAGTTTGTTGTACGAACGGAAACGGCGCCGCAAAGATGCTGGCCGCGCAAAAGCAGCTATAATCAACGGTAATCCATGAAAAATAGGCGAAAAACCGCAAGCACGCCCCAACACATGAGTGCTTGATGGGTGCCAGTTGAAGAGGCAGCGTTTGGGGAAAAAGGAATGGCGGTTACAGATCCCTCCTCTACTTCATTCACCTGCGGAGGCTCTGCACCTTCTACCAACACCCATGCACTATCGTTCTCCGCGGCCCTCCCCAATGAGGAAGGCTACGAATCTGGCAAGGAGAAAGTAACGTCGCGACCCAACTCTATTCCCATGAGTGTTGTGAGTATTCGATTGACAACTACAAGCGACAGAGGCAAAAAGCCGCTCGTTCCAGTGTGAAACTCCCGCTGGATTCCATGCCTTTGCTCCTGAGCACTCCACGAACAACGCATCAGCAAGCGTCAGAAATATTTTGCGCGGTGGGCTTCCACGCATTGCCGCATAGCATTGCTCTCATGGGGAATAAAGATTGAATATTTCCATCATCTCGTTGCGTCAGGGGTGTGGGCCCTCAAATCGGATCCCAACAGCCCTCTGGCTGCCAGCGCATTTTCCAGTTTTGTTGAAGAGTGTACTGAAATGTGTAGAAATCCAAATATTTACGTCGGGCAAAAAGAGGGCGGCGTTCTCCCCAACTATGTTGTCAAGCAAATCAATGACATGTTTCGTAAGCCGCTGCTCCCCCCTCCCCCTACACCTCTCGTTGCAGACTTCTGCCCCTTCGCCTTTGCCCAGAACTACTGTCAACTGAAGCTAGCCTGATGAGGATTGTGGAAATCTCATGGACAAAACTGGCCACTTGTCTGCTGGAGGCGCCGGGTCCCTGGCTGCAGCGTGCGTCAGTTTTTTCATGATCACTTTCGTCCTGACAAATGCAGCCCTTAACGATCCCTTTTGGGGGCAGCAAAGCAAATTTGTCGCTGGTTTACCAGACCAGCCCTCATGGAGCTATTGCTACTCCTCGTGGACGGCTCGCCTCGCTGTCTTTCCTGCGTCAAGACAGCTACCTGTGAGCTCGCTAGCTACTTGGGCGCGTGCAAGCACAACAATTGGCCTGTGCTACATTCTACACGTCCTACTTTCTATCGAACCTAGGCATCTCTGCTGTTTGTTCTGTCCTCGTGCGGGCAGAGTTTCATGAGGGAAACCAAGACAACGCCGCGGCCCTCTTCTGTGTTTTGAGCAAAGCCGTGCAAGCTGTACACGCTGCATGTTATTCCCAAGTAATTCCTTGCCCCAACAAGCAGCACTTGCCCAGAACATGAAGCCCTGCGGCAGTCCTGCAAAATCTCGAATTGGAATATCACCCTAGATGAACTGGTTCGCCCGCTTCCTTTTGCATTTAGTTCACAGCACCCCTTTTATTCATGCTTCTTTCAGATTCAACACGTCGGAATTCATGCAGGCCACCTCCCCATATTGACATCCCTTGCTGCCTCGGCGGGTAGAAAGGCCGAAGCCCTGGCCGCCGCTGCCACGGATCAGTCATTATCTCAGGCAGCAACTCGTGTTGTGACTTCAGCTGCCAAGGTCCTTTATCCGCAGGCTATCAAACTATCCCTACCTCCCTCTCTCCGTCTCCTGCAGCAGTGCAGAGCACTCTAGTGTGAAGGAACGGCGCTTGCCCTCCCCAAGTTGCCTAAGCAAACAAGCGTGCTGTGCTGCAGCCCCTCAGAGAACACCCCAGAAATAATAACAACAGGCTCCAACTTTGAGAAAATGCCCATGTAAGACATCCAGCGGGGTGCGCGTTTAGCGTTGTAGCAGGCAGTCGTTCCGTGGGGAACCCCTGCAGTCCCCCCTAGCCGCCATCCCTGCGGACTGACTGGCTGCTTTCCTCCGCCCAGCCGAGCTATCTGTTGAGCCTCGAGCAAAGACAAACACCGACCGGATGGTGGAATATATCTGCGCCAACTGAAGTTTTGCCAACAAGTGTTGGGCAAGTTTACAACGTTAAACTAGTCATACTGCTTCGGTTCACCTCTCCTGTACAAAGCGAAGAGATGCTCGTATACATGATGAGTCTGTAGGAGTTCGTAAAAACGCGTGCAAAGACCCTGCTGTCTCTAGGCTGTTGAACGAAGTCGTTAGAGAGGCAGACACAACGCTGCTGCTAGTCGCATTCAAAGGACCAACCAGCCCTCGTCTCCCTTCTTGACACCAGCGGCTCTCTACCGAGGGCGTCCTCGACGCTGCCTATGCGAGCCTGTTTGCACCAATAAAATATCACCGACTGCACTCCCAGGCAAAAAGAAACTCTGTATGTAAGAATGACTGCACGGCCAGCAGGAGGAGAAGCACGCGACAAAACACTACACAGACACCGAAGGACGGTGACCGCGAGCGAGATCCAGAGAGTAGTCACTCCGCTGCTGACCCAAAAGAAACCCTCCTCCGAAGCCTTGATCAAGCTGTCTGCCGCAATGCGGCCTCTTTTTTCTGTCCTCGACGCCTTTTGCATTGCCTCCTCCCTGCATTCCTTTTCCTCTCCCCCGTTTACTCTTCCTCACTGGAGTCCGCCTCCGCTAGCCATTTGAGGAACGGCTCGGCATACGTCTTGCACTTCTCGAAAATCGCGTCTGGCTTCTCTGCGGCGTAATACTCCAAAATATCCTCGGGCTCCAGAAGCTCGGCGTTGTACATGCGCTGCAGCAAATACGGGTAGCCGGTCATTGAGGTTTGCTCGCTTTCGAAACAAAAGTTTTCCAGAGCAGAAATGAGGTCTGACGCCCGCACGGAGGAGTCGCAACATTTCGCCACGAAGGGCATCTTCTGCTCCAGGGCCTCCGGAGTCAGCCCGTCCTTAAATAAGGCATTGAACACAACGTACATCCGACACTGCAAAAAAACAGACACAGATATCACACCTGCCTCACCACCACACAGCTGCACAATGTCTGAGCCTTCACATCCAGACCTCCAAACTCCGTACCACACACGCATTCGCGAGAGACAGCGACCCCTAGCCTTGTTTCCCACAATACGCAACGGCAGAAATCCACATGGCACTGCATGCAACTACGCGACATACAAACACGCATTTGCACATACAGGAATATACATACATACACAAATGTGCATATACAAACACATATCCAAATATGTACGTGCCAGGCCCCTAGAGATAGCCGCCGAAGGAAGGCGCGCTTCCACCTCACCTTAGCGTCAAAATCCTGAGACACCTGCAGCATTCTGAGTTCCACGAAAAAAGCATCAGGAGTCACAGAGGCCGAGGAGGCCACCATGTTTCTCAGTCGTGCTGAAACATCGGCTATCTCTGGGCAGCTGATAGTCAGAGACTCCTTCGAAACTAGCTTCGAAACGTCCGTGCTACTTCCGTGCTTCTTTTCCTTCTTCTTCTTCTCCGATTTTTCAGCCTTTTTTTCGCCCTCAGAAATCTTTTCATCATCCCAGCTGTCATCACCTGTCATGCGCATGTACAGCCCATACACACATACATACATACATACACGCTGTCGGCAAGAGTAGCAGCTCTCTCCGAGCGACCCCTGAAAAAAAAACCGCTTTCTGCACTGCCTCCGCAAGGAGGAGCCGAGATGCACACAACAATGCATTTCGTGAGGCACCACACGTGCGCGCGATTGCAAGATCGAGCATCGTGCATGCCCACCATCATTCGTCGGTGTTGCATCGCCCGACTGATCCAGACTCTTTCCATTTAGGCTGTCGCCATCATTCTCTTCGTCGCCCTTCTTTTTCTTCTTCTTCTCCTTGTCCTTAGACTTCTTCTCCTTGCTGGATTTCTCAGGCTTCTCCTCCTCCTTGGCGAGCTTCTCAGCTCTTCGCTCTTCTTTGGTTTTCTTCTTCTTCCCCAGCGTGGTGTCAGTGGCATTCGGAGGGTTCTTCGCCATGTACGTCGCCGCCTTGTGGGTATTATCAAGTGTTCCAGAGTATCCGCACGCATTGCACTTGCACAGCAATACCCCCTTCTTCACCATGATATCAATCTCGGGCAATTCGCATCCCTCGCATAACACGTACATTTGGATAAACCTGAGACCCAAGCATCACACAGGGGCAAGATGCATCGCAAAATCAGCAAATCAACATTTTCTAGGGCAGTCAAACACAGTAAACCTACATATACATTGCCTGCCGGCGATTCTCCCACCCGCATGCGGCCTTCACAGAACGCCTCGAATTTGAACTGAAACCCAGATGTGTCGATATGCCAAACATAAGCCTCTTCATACAAGCCGTGAATCAAACGTACTTATCCAGAATAGCCACGAGGTCCTGTTCTGTGTGTGCGCCATTGATGAGCGCCTTTTCTTCGTTTTCTTCAAACTTCACCATCGCGCCAAGCTCGCATCCAAAGAACTTGGTAGGGTACATAGGGGGCCTCTTTAAGGCCCTAGCGATTTCCCCCATATTGTACACATTGGTCCTGATGCCGTTGCCCCTGCCCTCTATCTTAGAAAGCAGTTTCGGCATCTTGTAGCGGTAGTTGGGGTCCTCCTTGTCTCTGGGAATGTTGACATACGCCATCTTCGCTGGAATGAGCTCAGGCTTCGGGGCGTATGAGGCTTAACAGAGCATTAGGGAGGCAACAGACGCAGCTGTACGCAGCGACGGCGGGAGTAAAGCAGGACGCGTTGTTCTTCCTAAGATTGGCTGGGGGAGGGCTGAAGGGGCCGAGAGCCTCTCTGTCATCTGCCGAGGATGTTTGGGGAGTTTAGGGGGGAAAATGGACAAGGCAAGGACTGTTGTTGTTCCATCCGGAGAGCGTTGCTCAACCGACCAGGATACTCTCGTAAGGAGAGAAGAGAACGGCACGGCAAAAGGAGGAAGAAACAACGGCCTGTTCTGTCCATCAGCGTGTAGCCCGGGATTTGAGTCCCAGAGGGTATTGGGCGACGAAGGTAAGAGAAAAGGACAAAAGGACGCAAAGAACGTGCCACTAAATTCGAATAAGATCAACGTGGTTTGTTTTGGTGTGCCACATTGTGCCCCCCCACCGGAGAGCCCGTGCGGTGGCCGCCGCTTGACTCAGTGGGTGCTTCGCGCTGACGCTGCCGGGTCTGAGTGCTGTTTTCATTCATGGCAGGGATAGATTCATACTTTTGAAGGGTTTGAGACTTTTGATGCTTTTCTTTTTTCTTCTCATTGATCGAGGACGCAGATACCCGCACCTTTTTTGCACCTTCAGGTTCATACAGGGATGCGCATAGGGCTCTCTCCACTCCACATTGCATGCACAAAGGCGCTGAGATTGCCTCCCCCAATTTGCTTCGCCCTTCTGTGCCTCTTTTATTCCCACAATCGTCGAAAGAATGGTGCATTAGGTTCATAGCATCCAAAAATATGTCGGGAATCTCTCCTCAACCCGTTTGCCGCTTATGGAAGATATGCAGCTCCGCAGGCATAGCAGTCGCACGTCACAACTCCTTGCTTCTTTCTCTTATGCGCTTTACCCCCAACTCTTATAGCTCTCTAGAGGTTATATGCATCGAGATGGCTCCAAGCATGATCCAGATACCCACTTTATTAGTTTTGCACTTCCTAGGCAGAGTTCTGTATTGGACTTAAACACCCACTACTACACTGCCTATATATGTTCAAGAACTAGTAGGGTATTAACCAATTGCTTTTCCGGCTCGTATATCCTATTTTTTGAATTCTTTTATTTAAATAGAAGACTAAATGCTGCGTGAGTGTGTGCTCGGTGTTGTGCGCACCTACAGGTAAGTGCTCGGAGTGCTTACAGAGTGAAGCAACACACACCCTAGCTGTCACTCTCCGTTCAAGTGAGAGCTCTGGGGGGATTCCTAAAAAGAGCGGGAATTTTCCGAGGAGCACGCAGTAGCTTCCTATGAGGAACGCATGAAGTCTGGCCTTAGGTGCTCCCAAGAGAGACCTTCGATGTAGCGTACCACTTTGAAGAGCATCTAGTTCCCTGCTCGAGGTTTAAATATTTACTTAGGGTGTAAGGCCATTCAAACAGCTTCACTGGGGCACTTAAAGCATAATTTCATACTCACGGCATAGACCCATAACCGTGGAGAGCAAGCCAAAAAGCGCAACCCAAAAAAACATCAAGAGTGTGCACTTCGCACGCCTTGGCTGATGATAAAATACAGTGATCAAGCAATGGAGAGCGCCACAGCTTGTATAAAAGCTGGCAAATTTCTGTTTAGATTTAGGTATGACACTCCTGTGAATGTGCACCGCTGGTGCACAGCCTCTTATGTAGGGCACCCAAAAAGAGGCCCACACCGACGAGTAGCAGTCCGTAGTTTTCACTGGGAATCCGCACTAGTGGAATGCAAAGACAGAGAACTCTTTAGGCTGGCTGTAAAAAACAAGACGGATGGCGTTTTTCTGTGGTTATGGAACAACCACTATTGATAACGGATGGTATTCTCCTACTCTTGCCTGAACGCACCGGCCTCCTACTACAGTAAAGACAGGCAGTGTTTCCATGGGGAAAGAGAAAGTGAGAGAATGGAGTGTAAGCCTTTCGCGTTAGAACCACAAATACCACACCGACAATACATGCTGGCTCTCGTTGAATAAAGCCCGTAGCTCAGTCGCCGACGGCACTTCCCCTCCGTATCCTGATCTGCGTGTTGCCTTCTGTAATAACAATGAGGACCTGAGGTAACGGCGATAGTCGCATTTTGGCTATTTGGGAGCATGCAGCAAGCAGGTCACTGTGCACGCAGAGAACCAGCCAGCGACTCCGTCCGGGTGCCAGTACAAAAAAGTAATAGGAACTGAATTAGGCTTCATTTTGTGGTGTCTCACAGCTACACGGAACCAGCGACCGTAGAGAACACGCCAAGTGGACCCAAGGGCCTCCTGCCTCGGGGGGTGGGGGCCCGTCCCTCGAAGAAACTAGCGTTCCTCTGTGCAACGGCATTGTTTCATTGAATTCGCATGTACTATCTAGCTTTATCAGTGCGATCCTTTCATTTTTGATCGTTTGGGGTCCTAGGGCAGCGTGAGCGAAGTTGCTCTGGCGCGAAGTTTTTGTCTAGAGCGCTGGTACAGTCGGTGCAACGATTGCTTGTCTGTGCCAGAAAGCCCCACAGGTCCTCTCAGAAAGCCTAAATTTGAACATAGACGAGGCCGTTCCGCAAAATGGGTGCGCTACTGCAGACATAGCCCACTGCGCACTAGAGGACTCTGCACGTTGCATGGAGTCGTACAGCTCGCAAGTGACACACCACGACTTCCAATGGTCCTCCGGTTGTTGTCAGCTCTTACTACATACCATGACTTCCTAAGGTCGCACCACCCTGGATGTACTCTGAAGGAACTTGATGCAACTCCCGAACGCATGATCTCCCCCGTGCCCCTCGATATTCTCTGGCATGCCATTGTGTGTCTGGATCTCTACAGCGATTCTTTTAGGCACCCTCCTCGCTGAGGGGACACCAAGGCGAGGTTTTTCTCCAGTATTCAGACAAGGGAGCCTGCCATGGGGGGCCTCGTGGGGGCTGTCGACTCTGCCCACGGTAGACGGCTTGCAGCTGCCCATCAAAACAGCAGCTGCGAGCAACGGCAATGGCAAAAGGGGCGAAAGCAGCGGCAGCAGCAGCGTCCTTGCGCGTTCTTCTCTCCCTAGAACGCGCTCCTTGGCCTTCATTCGTTCTCCCCTCGCTTGCGCCACCCCTACAACGCGCCGTGGCATTCCGTCAATCCATAGAAGCGACCTCAGAAAGGAGGCCGATGAGGCCGATTCCAACGACGGTTTCTACTCGGCTATCTCGCCTGCAGTGGGTGCCACTGGCGAGAAAGCCTGCGCTTCTCCCTGGCCAGAGGGGCATGCCCTCCTGCCTCCGGAGCGCGACGAGGCCCCTGTGGGGTCTGGCGTATCGTCTTTCTTGCCTCCTCGAGGCTTTCGAGATTTTCCGCCTGCAGAATTCGCAACGCATAGATGGCTTTTCTCTCTTTGGCATCAAGTTGCAGCCGAATTCGGTTTCCAGGAGTACAAAGGGCCCTCCGTGGAGCGCGCTTCCCTGTATGCGCATTTCGTCGAAGTCTCCGCAGGGGCCCGTCAGGGGGCCCCCTCGGGAGCCGCCGCTGCAGCGTCTCATACACGAGGCCCCACGCCTCTCGCTGACAAGTCGTCTGCAGCTCCTACTGGGGGAACCCACCTGCAAGCTCCTCCCCACATATACCGACTGCAGGGAAAGCCAGGCAGGGACGACCTCTGCTTGCGTCCAGAGCTCACGCCGTCGCTCTCACGCATGCTGCTGAGGGAGCAGCAAGGCCGTCCGTCGGGAGCAGCCCGCCGATGGTACTCAGTCGAGAGGGTGTGGAGACACGAGCGACCTGGCTGCGGACGAAGGCGAGAACACTTCCAGTGGAATTTGGATATAGCGATGATCCCGTCGTTCTTGCCCGCGGCACTGGCAGGCCCCCTTGGCACCGGCAGAGGCGGAGGGGGCTTTCCGTCTGTAGCGACAAGCGCACGCGCCGCTGGCGTAAAAGTTCAAGAATGCGGTAACCATGGAAGTCAGAAGCAGCAGCCAGTCAGGGGGGCCTGGCTGCAGGATTTCAGCTCGTTTGCCGTTGCAGAGCTCATTGCAGCCGCTGTGCGCCTGTTTCAGAAGCTGGGTCTGACCCCACGAGACGTCAAAATCCGAGTTGGCAGTCGAGGCCTCCTTGCTGATCTGCTGATGACAGACGACGCGCTCAGCCGAATTACGGGGAATCAGGGGGCGCCTAGAAGCTCTGGAGCGGCTCACCTGCGCCTTCCCGAGGAGTTCGCGAGAGCCGTAAGAGACAGTCATGTCGTCTTCCAGAAACGCTTGATTTCGGCAATGCAAGTGCTGGACAGGGCCGGTAGGCGAGGCGATGCAGCCGAGACAGAAGCGGCGCTATCTGGTGCCCTGGGCATAAGCGCTGAAAGCTCTGCACATCTGTTAAAGCGCCTTGTCTCATTCAACGTTCAAGACGACGACTTAGCGCAAAAGCTGGCACGCCGCATGCGCCAGATACTGCCCTCTGACTCCAACGCAATCTGCATGGATTCGGGGCCCACGGAGAGCTCGCAGGGGCCTCTGGAAGCAGTGCAAGAAGTGCCCCCCTCAGTACGTGAGTTACGTCGTTTGTTGCATCTGCTAGATGAAGGGTACCAGATAATGGAGTGGGTAGAGGTTGATCTGCTGATTGTGCGGGGACTGCACTACTACACGGGCATTGTATTCGAAGCCTTTGACACAGCAAACGCCTTCAGGGCGGTTTTGGGGGGCGGCACCTACGGGGTCTATGGGGGCCCCCTTGCAGATCCCAAGCTAAGAATAGGGGCGTCTTCTGTAGGAAGCCTAAGCCCTCAAGAGGCGAAGGCAGAAGCAAGTTGCGTGGGTAATGCAAGGAAGCAAACGGTAGGGAGCATCACTGGAGTGGGTTTGGGTATGGGAGACTGCGTGCTCTTGGAGCTGCTAAAGAGTAAAGGCCTTGTCAGAACTAGCAGACCGACTGTTGACATCGTCGTAGCCCTCCGCCAGGAAATTCCCGCGCGGAGGCTTATTCGAGCTGCATCTAGATCGGAAGCAGGGGCGAAGTGTGGCATTGCTGGAAGTCCAGCTGTCGAGGGAGATCGATCTCCCACCGCTACGAGCCTACCGTCAGCGGGGGCCCCTTGTGCGCTGGCAACACAAGCGCAGGCATTGTGCTGCAAACTAAGGGGCCTGGGGTTCAGCGTGGAGCTGATGCTGCCACTCCAGCGGCCCGACCAAGCCTCAATAAGACACGCCAAGGCCATGAATGCCAAAGCAATAGTATTTGTATCGGCAGCAGACGCTTCACGCTGTCGGCATGCTTGCGAAGATTCTGCTGCGGAGCAGGTGCCGTCCACGCCATTCGAAGACGAAAGCGTAGAGACGGTGGACGAAGTAGAATTCGATGTTGTCCTCCTCGCCACCAGTGGCGATTCCAGCTCGGCGCATCACCAGGTCTGCCAGCGAAAGCTCCAAGCTCCCGCCGCACCCTCAGCTAATCTGAAAAACCCATTTGTTAAATCCAATGAGACACTCCACAGTGTATCATGCGTCGTTTCCTTGATGGAACGCCTATTGTCGAGGCACCAATAGTGCCATGCTTCGATCGACAGACGAAAGCCAACTTCAAGCCTTTTCCTGTGGCGTCTTGAGTGTCCCCCGCTGTAAGAATTTGTATCCCTGCCGGTAAATCGAGTTCGCTCCAAGGTCGGGAGGCAGGCCCAGAAAGACCTCATGCCACCATTACAAGACCCTACCGCTTTTGATGAGGACAATAAAACAGTTCCCAGCAATACCTGCAGCAACGTATAATCCTCCACCGCCAACAGCACCCCTTCCTATGACCAGCACCTACGAACCTTAACTAGAATTTCGTAAACTACGCTTCTACGCTAAAGAAGGACAGTCCTACAGTACCCGGTAGATATGCGAATAACGTACAACTCGCACCATTCGCCGCAGCGAAACGCAAGCACTCGGGCCGCAATCTCGCCAGCTCTCCCATTCAAACCCCGGAGCACAAGTAACCAGCTATCAAAAGAAGTAACACGATGCAAATAACTTTAACCTGCGAGGTTTCTAGGACCAACCTAACGGGCACCTAAAATTCCTGGGGCAAGATAATAGTTTCGAAGCGTTGGGCATACAAAAAGGCCAGCATACTCTGCATTTCCAATTAAGTCACTGTTCTCTGATTAATACTGCAAGCTGGCGAATTGCAAAACCTGGGAACGACTGTCGGCTGGAAAGTCTTAAAGTATGCAGGGGCCATGACGCACACGCAAAGTATGCAACGTAGTCTGGTCCAGCCCCAACGGTTGGCTTGAGAAGATAGCAAAACATTTTCCTTTACGTAAGTTGAGACAATGCCCACTGCCAACAGTGGCAGCAGTGCCATCTAGTCAGGGAATACAAACTGTTCATGCATCACAGTCCCGAAGGATCAGGTGAAACACGGATCAATTGCTTTCATCCGTTTGCCACCGCACTCCACTTCCCGAACAACGCCCTAAACAAAGAGCGCAAACGTGAAGGTGCCCAAGTAACAAAAATGCAAGGCAGCGGGGCTTCCCATGCTGCCAGTCCAGGCCACCTCAGTTATCCATATAAACCGGGAAAAAAATCGAAGCCTCTGCTCCTAACTTCCTACCGGCAAGTAGTCCACTGGATGCAAACGCAAGAGTGCACCGAGCACAATTTGAATCACACTAGCACCATATCTGCTAAAACTGGCATCTCGCCAGTACCATACATTCACTGGTAGTTTCGGAATGTATACATTCCTTCCTATCTGTAATGCCTCGAACGAACGACAAGCAGTATGAATGACGATAAAGTTGACACGCTGCCAGCTCCTCCACACAGCGGTCACATCCCCTACAAATTTTATACATAAAAAGCAATCCGACTCTATTCCCACTGCAAATGAACGTGTCAGCCTCTAGTTATCGGCGAAACCGTCTGCCGATGCAACCAACACATTCCACTGCTCAAATGACAGTGCACCCTCAAATGTAAAGCTACTTCGCGACTAGTCATGGAAGGATGGCAGTATTAAACGCATTATTCACCAGGAGCATCGAGCAAAATACGATGGATCAATCAGCACATGCTTGCTTGCATGTAAATTGCAGAGCACGAAGGGCATAGATATCAACAGCATGACACCAAGAGCCTCCAGCGCCGTCAGTTCAGGTCTCCAATGTTCTCCTCAGTAAAGTCAGAAGAACGACAGTTTGGCAGATCATCAGCAAAACGCGATAGGCAACAAATCTCCCTCCACGCTCTATGCTCCGCATTATGGCTCGTCCTCCAAATGCCATTCGATAAAAAGTACTGGCGAGGTAGCGCTATCCCCATTTCCGCCACTTTGATAGGCCATCGGACACAAACAACATGCCTGCACCGGCAAAAGAACGCCCGTCATACCGAGCCATAGTGACAACCAAGAACACATGTACATGCTCGCATTCAAAGAACAAACAGCACACAACTCATAATGGAGGATACAGTGTCAGCGCGCTGTCAGCCCTCTTGCATCACCAATTAACGATATCATGAAGAGGTTCCTATGCGGCCAGCCGAATGGCTACGTCTTCGCTGCTAATGGCAGAGGCAGCCTCTGATGATGCGCGAGGCAGTCTCTGTGGCAATCCACAGCGTCGCATACAAAGAGAAACAATATAGGTGGCAGTCGATCAGGGAATACAAACTGTTCATGCATCACAGTCCCGAAGGATCAGGTGAAACACGGATGCTTTTTTCATCACGCAGCCTGCCACTAACTGAAAGACCAAGCAGAAGCAAATAATCCCACATAGGATACTGTATCCACACAAACAAACCCACCTCCCCATTGGTGGCTCAGATCCCTAGCTTTCTGTGGAAGTGTAGAAAAGCAAACAAACCAGATAGGAAAATTCTCGCTGACGCCCGCAGAGATGGCATACTCATATTCACACATAAAAAGGTACGAATGGGAACACACAGCAGCAACCGAAGGCATAGGGTCGACGACCGGTGTTCGTAAAGAGACATCTATAGAAATAGTAGCATTATTAGCCTGGATCGCAGAAAGGAGCACACGTCCTTTCACTATCAGGTAAGCATCATGCTCGGCAATTTCTCTCCACACTGCTCATCCCTGCTTAGATATTCTGCGTAACGTACTACCGCGCCCATTCCCCCCGCTTCCTGACTAGGGCTCGGCCAGTGTTGTTAAAATGCCAGCCGGAAGACACTGATAGAGAACAACCTCTGAACAAGCAGCTTATTCCAGCTCAACCCTAAACCAAAAACTGGTAATGGGTCTGCCCGGGACAAAATGTTTGCAAGGATCTTTTTGCTGTTGTTTCCTGGACGAGGCTTGCGCCCAAAGCCTGCCTTTACCCCATCTCTCGAAAAGACTGGCGTTCGCAGAGGGAGCACATGCAGAGAGGCGCGTCCCTGCAGACAGCCCTCGGAAAGTGTATTAGGCTATTTGTAGGCCTGCTTTCTTTCTCAACTCAGCATCAATAATCTTCTGCTTCTTCTCCTGGGCATGACGCGACTTAATGCCGAGCTGACCGCCACCCCAACGCCGCCTGAGTTCCGTATTGTCGTTAAACATCAAGCGGTAATTCTTGCATTGAGCTTCCAACTCCGCTTGATCCTGAGAATGAGAGAGAGCAAGATGGGCGAGGAAAAATGAACAGAGCTCACCAAGAGGCTTCAGCGTACAACCGCGTACAATAAAGGGAAAAAAAGAAAAACAAATAAACGTGGCTCCTAGAATTTCAGAGAACTTTGAAGACATGATTTTCAACGATGCGCAGTCGCACCTCGTCATAGAAAAATATCATCAGTGGGGCCATTAGACATCCAAAACGAAAATTCGGCACTATGCTGGAGTAGGACAACCAATGATATAAGTGTGGCAAGGCGAACGAGAAGGGGTACACGGCACACACTGAATTTGTCAGACGAAGACTATTATGGTGCGTCATCGCCGAAGTAGCCCTCGCTAGTCAACAAGTAGAGTCTCAACCTTTCTCGCTGGCGTAGAATGCATGGCAGTAACAGTCAAGGACCTCCCGTTCACGAGGCAGAATATCGCTTGACAGATAGCCATCACGTATACACGGAAAAATGACAAAGTATGAAGGGGTCATGGCAGGGGGTACAGAAGGAAGGCGGCCGCCGTCAGTTGAAGACGATTAGAATTCGTGAACCTCAGTGCGACAAGTCGCTGGTTAACGAGTTGCTCTCATCACTCAGCGGCGCCATCAGAGCAAGCAAACAAGCTTTGCCCTTCGTCGAAAACAGGTGAACTGACTTCGCCCCCTTCAGGCAGAAGCGGTGAACACGGCGGCACAGTTCAAAGCAAACAGTGAGCAAATAAAAAGCAGATCATGAAATTCCCCGTACCTCTTTCCGAACCGAGTCGATTGCAACAACAGCGCATGCCTTCTTGTGCACAAGCTGTCCAAGCCTTGACTTTCCCTTAACAATGCAATATGGCACATCTTTTTTCCTGCACAGGGCGGGAAGCCAGCAGACGAGGTCGATGGGGGTCACGTCATGGGCAATAACCACTAACTTCGCCTTCTTTATCTCAATCAGATCCGTCACATGATTCAGGCCAAACTTCAGCATCACCGGCTTCTTGCTTGTGGCCTGGCTGCCCCCACACTGCTTCTCCCCCTCCGCTATCAATCGTGCCTTCTTTTCACACCGCGTCTCGGGCTTGTACTTGGCCAAAAGTCGTAGCAACTGGCGGGTCTGCCGAAGTATCACCCCCAAAAGAGCAGCAAACAGCGCATTAATGTACCACGCAGACAGACAACTAGGGGTAAGGCAGAAGCACCCGATACCGGTAATAAAAATCCATAGCCTCGCATTGGGCTCAACGAATAAGCTGTTCGGCACCGCGATACTTTTCCATACTCGCCACATGCGGAATCGTCCACAAACTGCTGTTTTGCTCTCCCTCACCTGATTCTTGTCAAGGGTGCTGGTGAACTGGTTGATCGCAGGAGGCACCTTGAGTCTTTGCATCAGCACTCGCCTTTGCCGCTGCAGCAGGATGTATTTGGGCCATTTTACGAACCTGAGGAAATCACGTACAAGCACCCTCAACATGGAGAACTAGAACGCACAGTGCACCCAGACCTTTGAATTTGCTACAAGGACCAGCAACTGGACACTGGATGTACACCAAGCCGTACTCCCCTTTTAAATATGCATTTCTACACTCTGTCATAGCTGTAAGATCGAAAAAAAGGCATGGAAAAGCCGTACCTGGTAAGCTCGCGGCGGGGCTGAATACAGCAACCAATACGGAAGTTACGGGGCGTCTTCTGGAAAATGAGGGACTTTGTTGCCTTCTTCACAGTCTTTCCAGCTGGATTGGCAGGGAGCTTCTTCTTAGAAGCCCCTCCAGCAGGCTTGTTAGCGGCCGGCGCCTATATACACAAACAAAACAGCAGGAAATTGCAGTGTCGTGGGTTGCCTGTGCTGGGGAGCTGAGCAACCACAGGCTGCACGCTACAAGAGAATGTTCAGAAACCGCCCCGCCGGACGCCCCGCGGAAGGAACAAGGTGACACAAATCGAAGTATCCATAGACTTGCGGGTGGGCGGGTAGCCAAAACAATGCCAATAACCAACAAAGAGATGGGGTACCACAGCCCACTGCCATGGCTATAGCACCAGCCTGGCCACACATAAGCACTTAGTAGCCCCTAAATACATTTCAGGAAATGAGGGTAAGCCATGAACAAATATACTTCAAAGCTGATAGAGACAAGGTATTCAGCAGGAAACAAGCAAGAGATTTTTGCAAAAAGCTGCCTGGCACCCCGAAGCACAACGCAACGGCCACTCCTAGGCCGCACGTGCGACTAATCCTGCCACATCTTTCGAAGGCAATCACAAATGAAGACAAAAAACTAGAACGACGAGCTCGTACAGAAAAAGCCGCTGGAATACGTCCAACAATACCCGAGCCAGGAAAAATGAATTGTGGGGTGGGCGTGGGCAAGAAGCCACAAGCAAAACCCACCATTTTGCCTGCGTTTTGAGCAGCTGCCAGGAAGAAAGGAAACAAGAGGATTAGTTCCTGTGGCAACTTCTGGCCAACCCTCGAACAATTTTACCATGCAGGAGGAAACCTCGTGCTCCTCCCGCCGGCCGTAGCGGCAGCCGCATCCACCGGCCCCTCGCGCATGCAGCCACTCCCCACAGAATTCGATCCTAATTATGCTCCAAAAAGGGCAAAATACTTCATTTGGCCCAAGCTACATCAGCGTCAAGATTAGGATGGATTAGTGGTGAAGAGTAACAGAGGTGGAAGTGCCCCTCTTTTCCGATAGTACGCAGTCACAATCTAGTGGGGTAGCCCCAACTCGTAGGGTCTCCATAAAGAAATCTGAAGCTAAGACGCGAACCAAATATAGGCAGGGACGCTGAAATATCTTTTTATCCAAAGAACCGCATTCCCACCTTAGTGCTCACACAAAAGGGTCCCGGTCCTAACTCGGGCAGTGTTGAATACATCTGCGTATGATGCAATGTGCAACTACAGAGGGGTGCTCAGACTGCGTGAAGAAAATATCTATGCTCACCGTATCTATCTCTCTTCAGCTTTATCGGAACACTGAGAGGCGTGGGCAGTTGAAGGCGGGAGTTCTATTTGAGGGACACTCAGTAACCTGTTACCTAGGTTGTACTAAGTTTGGAGCTCAGTGTTACCCCTATGAACAGCTTCGATGTAGCGTTCTGTGATGCTTCGATGCTTTTGTCCGCTTATTCACTGATTATGGGTGCGGTGGAAAATCAGGTTTCCCTGAAGCAGCTGTTTGGTTTCAATCCGGTTATTTAATGGTCATAAAGCTTGATTTGCTTGAAAGTTCGTAAGGGGGGAGAGTGGCCATCTGACGGTATGGTACGTGGTGACAAAACGCCTCTGGGGGCGGCAGAAGCCGACTTGCCAGTGGGGTGAGCGTACATCCTCCAGAGCTGGTAAGAAGACATAATTTGTCAGCCAAAAAATGTTTCTGGATGCGTCGATGAGGTTATGCCAATCAACCACAGCAGTATGAAAGCCGTATGCTGGAGCGATGGAAGTTTGCAAAAGAGGGAAAACTTATGGTATGGAAGGAATTTGAAAGCAACCACCCTGTTACTAGCTAAAAAGGAAAACCCAATTCGCGATATAGACCCTATGAATGTCGGCGCTGTAAGAATCAGCCCTAGCCTGCAGCCTGAAGTGGACGAGGAAAGAAAAATGAGGACAACCCGCGCTCCTATGAAGCCCGTAACACCCCCCAAAAAAGGCGCCTGCTTTTATTGTGGGATATTAGGTCGTATAATCCGGAACTGCGAGTGCATGCAAAAAAGCCAAGAGGTTCTACAACGGTGCTGGGCCTAGGGAAAGCACGCTGCTTGGCAAGCAAAGGAGGTGCATCAGGGAGGCGTGAAGCCGCTCACGCAGAGTGCCGCGCAGTTAAGGGGACAACAGAGGATCGAGCTGCTGTTGGAGGCCAACCACGAGTCGATTTTATGCTTACATGAGCTAACATTAACGAATGGAATTTGGCAACATTTCTTGACCCTGGATATGAAGTGGACTTGCTATTCAAGGAGACAGCGCAGAACGGCAGTCTGCCAGGCGACACGTTTCAACGCAGTCCTCAAGCCTTACGATTGCTGGAAGGCAACAGAACGCGATGATTGGGAAGGCTGCTGCAAATTCTACTAAAAGTCATATAACCATGGGTACTGACTTCTGTGTTGGACCCCTGGGCCACCATGCAATCGTAGGTGTCCCATCAGAGGCGTATGGTAGATGCGTATGCTGTGACAGTTCCACGCTGTGAAGTTTAGTGTGCCAGAAAATGCTAGGAGAAAACAACGCGGCCTCCTTGAACACTTTGACTGTATTTATGGCGAGTGGAATGGAGTCAATACCTCAACAATGTGAGGCCGCGTCTTTTTGCGGGCGGCTCGCAGCCCAGTAGGGGAAGACGGTTCTAAGCATGCATTCCGTCTTAGCTACTCTGCAAGTGATTCCTTACTAGGGAACGCAGCTGCGTTCAAGCTAAAGGAAAGGCGAGAATGGCCAAATATGAAGGAGGAACTAGCGGATGTGCTAAATAATGGCCAGCTGCTAGCAGGCTGGCAGCCTGCTGGCCGTCCAGTCCGCTGTATTGAGTTCAGCTTTGAATAAACCGTAGGCTGTGTTCCGCGGTACCGAAAGCCCTCACAGCATGTAGGTAATACTCAGCAGTAGCTGGATAAGCTCTTGAACGATGGCTAAGTGCCTGAACAGACGGGTGCTGACTGCCATTACCCCATGTGATGCAGAAATAGGACGGAAGGTGGCGCATATGCGTTGACTTGGAGACGCGAAAAAAAGATCACCCTGCAGCAAAAGCTTTTCTGTTTCACATGGTAGCGAATTACTCGAAGAATACATGGATTAACAGTCTAGTCGACCTTTGACTTCACAGACGCTTTATTACGAGTCCCTTTCCAACCGAACGACACCCAGAAATGGCTCTCCACACTCGTAACCGCAAAAACTGAAGCTTAAATGTAAGCCAATTAAGCTTGCTAGTACATTAACTGAACTGCAAAAGCAAGCTAGTCGGAATTTTTGTAACGCTCTCAAGGAGGGATGGATTATCCTACCTGGACGATGTCTTACTGTTCATTCGACACAGTTAAGAACCCCTGAAGCACCTATGCAGGCTAGGGAACAAGCACATGCATGTGAAGGCACTTAGTTGTTTGGTTTTGTGTGATTGTGTTCTTGGGAAAACGTGTTTTGGCTGCAGGAATTGAGCCCGATCCATGAAAAATGAAGCGAGATGCCACATTTTCCTTTACGCACCCGCAGCCACGTTGCAGCATTATGTGCGTTTGAATCTTATCGCCAGTGTTTGGCTGCTAAATTTGGTCGTACTGTTGTTTCTTCGGTTGGTCTACTAAATGAAAAGCAGTTTGTGGCCCGAAGAGAGCCAGCTGAAGCCGCAGCAAGGGCACTCAATAGCCGACTTGCAACTCGTCTGGTACCTGCGATGCCCTATCATGACCGTCATATTATCCTTCATCACTGATGCTAGTGCTATAGCGGTGGCTATAATTATCTGACAACAGGCTACGAAGTTTCCAAGCTTCGAATAATTGCCAGTACCCTCTGTTGCCTCATCAAGAACGAGAAGCGTCATTGTATGCGGGACATGGAACTCTAGGCGGTATGTAGGGGTGTTAAAATATTTAACACCATTTTTATTGGCGTCATCTTACTGTCCAGTCTATCCACCCGTGTCTAGTTTACCGTGCGAAGAGTTTTCATGACTTCGAATGTCCTAGAGTTGTTTGCTGTCTTGAGCTCACCCTGCAGTACAGCCTTACAGTAAAATATATATAGTGAGCACTACCAGCGTGATTTCCAACGCGATCTCGCATTGAGCCAGCAATTCACTATTGTGCAACTCAAGCGCTCTTGTCTGTGACGATTCATGGCTTATATCAAAATTGTGTGCCTCTTATGCCTGTGGCACCCATCCATCTGCTACTGTTTCCAGGATTCAGAACGTCAAGGTGAAGCGTCACCACGTTGAAGATTACCTGCTATTACTGGAACTGAAGCGAAAACTCTGCCGCCTGCACAATCGACTTCATTTTGTAGCGCTGTTTTCTGCAACTCACATGATCCTGGTTCTTCTAGACATTGTGGGATTCGTGCTACAATGAAAAATCTCTGGCGGTCCTTCTAATGCTCAGGGTTGCGACCCCCGGCAGATAATTATGTAATGCCTTGGGCAGATTCACAACAACTGAAGCCGCGAAATTCTTCTATGCACGGCATTTTGCAAAGCCTTTTGGTTCCTGACAGGATTCAAATTGATCTGACAATGAGCGAATTTGTTAGATTGCTCTAGATAGAGTCAGGATAGTATCTACGCTATTTTCGAAAGGGGTAAAGTATATGCCCACTTCGTCCCTTGCTCTAGATGTTACGGCTCAGCAGGTTGCTCAATTACCCTTAAAACATGCATGGAAGCTTTAAGGATTTCTTTCGGAAATGCTGACGAATAGGGACTCGAAATTCGATTATGTGCTTTCGGATGCCTTTAATACCCACCAACGCGCTGACCGGGATGCAGTCACTGCGGACCGCCCTGAGGCAGCTGGAGAGATAGAGTGCATCAACCGCACATTTCTGCAGCATCTAGGACTCTTTCCTTGCAATAAAAGTGCTTGGCTCGATTTCCCTCCTTGCGGTGTGAGTCTATACCACAGCAATGAACTGGAATTCTCCTTGTTCTCCCACCTTTCTGGTTTTCACTGAGGAATCCCTGTTCAGTCTAAGCCTCGGCCTAATAGTTGGGGCTTAGCCGCCACCCCTAGCAGAGGAGGGGTTCAGAAACGCAGTTGGCTATTTTATGCGAGTGTGTGAGCAAAGCTGACAGAGAAGCACGGATTTATGATGAACGGTGGGTGGCTGTATGTTTCTAGCATAATGATCTGATTTTGGTGAATCAGCAGGCTTTCAGAGCCGTGCCACAAGGTGCCCAAGCGAGGATGGATGCCGCCTGCTGACTAGAACCATGTCAGGCATTAGTGCACTTTCTAGTGTATCGATTTCCCTAGAAGTTAAATGCCACAGAACACCCTACAGTGGCTTCCTAA